CCGACTTGACACGAGGGGGCTGCTTGTCTACGTTGATCAGCATATTTCTTCTGAAGAGAAGACTGATGTGTCAGGATGTGCGGGATTTGTTCCCATTTCTCATTTAGGTCCTCCAAATAATTTTCTTCAGAGTAGGATGAAACTCATAATTACAATAAAGTGGACTGTGCCTAGTTGATTATAGCACTCTCATTACCGTTATGAGCATATTCAGCCCAGGGAATCAAAGCCGCCCAATTGTCCTGCTTATGTGAAATAAAGCATAAATAATGTTCCATAATAAATGGGTTAATCCAGCCTCTAAAGCCTCTAGTGGCTGTCTCATTGACAGCCACTAGAGGTGTTTGCGTGCTTCTCACTGAGAAAATCATGCGCATTCAGCGCATTCAGCCGTAGAGGAGGAGAGGAGGCAGAGAGGAGAAGGATTTTAAGATTTTAACCCCTTCCTCTCCCCAGAGCCCGGCGGTAGAGGGTCCCTGAGGGTGGGGGCACCCTCAGGGCACTATAGTGCCAGGAAAACGAGTATGTTTTCCTGGCACTATAGTGGTCCTTTAATAGCTCCTGACTGATTCTTCTTCTGCAACTGTCACTAGTCTAATGCTATCCTTACCTTTTTGTGTTATTTTACCCCACTACCTCTAGCATGCAAGCTCATTGCGCAGGGCCCTCAACCCCTCTGTTCCTGTGTGTCCAACTTGTCTGGTTACAACTACATGTCTGTTCGTCCACCCATTGTAAAACGATGCGGAATTTGACGGCGCTCTATAAATATCATAATAATTAATATAATATTTATATATATTTAGTATATACTGGCTGGGGATACATAGTTTTATTTATATAATATTGATAGATATTCAGTATATACTGGCTGGGGACACACAGTTCTATTTATAGAATATAAATGTATATTCAGTATATACTGGCTGGGGACACACAGTTCTATTTATATTATATTTTATATATATATATATATATATATTCAGTATATAGTTGCTGAAGACACACAGTTCTATTTATATAATATTGATATATATTCAGTATATAGTGGCTGGGGACACACAGTTCTATTTATATAATATTGATTTATATTCAGTATATACTGGCTGGGGACACACAGTTCTAGTTATATAATATTGATATATTCAGTATATAGTGGCTAGGGACACACAGTTCTAGTTATATAATATTGATATATATTCAGTATATAGTGGCTGGGGACACACAGTTCTATTTATATAATATTGATATATATTCAGTATATACTGGCTGGGGACACGCAGTTCTATTTATAATATTGATATATATTTAGTATATACTGGCTGGGGACTCACAGTTCTATTTATATAATATAGATATATACAGTTGCAAGAAAAAGTATGTGAACCCTTTGGAATGATATGGATTTCTGCACAAATTGGTCATTAAATGTGATCTGATCATCATCTAAGTCACAACAATAGACAATCACAGTCTGCTTAAACTAATAACACACAAAGAATGAAATGTTGCCATGTTTTTATTGAACACACCATGTAAACATTCACAGTGCAGGTGGAAAAAGTATGTGAACCCCTAGACTAATGACATCTCCAATAGCTAATTGGAGTGAGATGCCAGCCAGCTGGAGGTGTTGGTTACAGCTGCCCTATAAAAACAAACACCAGATCTGGGTTTGCTTTTCACAAGAAGCATTGCCTGATGTGAATGATGCCTCGCACAAAAGAGCTCTCAGAAGACCTACGATTAAGAATTGTTGACTTGTATAAAGCTGGAAAAGGTTATAAAAGTATCTTCGAAAGCCTTGCTGTTCATCAGTGCACGGTAAGACAAATTGTCTATAAATGAAGAAAGTTCAGCACTGCTGCTACTCTCCCTAGGAGTGGCCGTCCTGTAAAGATGACTGCAAGAGCACAGCGCAGACTGCTCAATGAGGTGAAGAAGAATCCTAGAGTGTCATCTAAAGACTTACAAAAGTCACTGGCAAATGCTAACATTCCTGTTAGCGAATCTACAATACGTAAACCACTAAGCAAGAATGGATTTCGTGGAAGGATACCACAGAGGAAGCCACTGCTGTCCAAACAAAACATTGCTGCACGTTTACAGTTTGCACAAGAGCACCTGGATGTTCCTCAGCAGTACTGGCAAAATATTCTGTGGACAGATGAAACCAAAGTTGAGTTGTTTGGAAGAAACACACAACACTATGTGTGGCGAAAAAAAGGCACAGGACACCAACATCAAAACCTCATCCCAACTGTGAAGTATGGTTGTGGGGCATCATGATTTAGGGCTGCTTTGCTACGTCAGGGCCTGGATGGATTGCTATCATCGAAGGAAAAATGAATTCCCAAGTTTATCAAGACATTTTGCAGGAGAACTTAAGGCCATCTGTCTACCAGCTAAAGCTCAACAGAAGATGGGTGTTGCAACAGGACAATGACCCAAAGCATAGAAGTAAATCAACAGAATGGCTTAAACAGAAGAAAATACGCCTTCTGAAGTGGCCCAGTCAGAGTCCTGACCTCAACCCGATTGAGATGCTGTGGCATGACCTCAAGAAAGTGATTCACACCAGACATCCCAAGAATATTGCTGAACTGAAACAGTTCTGTAAAGAGGAATGGTCAAGAATTACTCCTGACCGTTGTGCACGTCTGATCTGCAACTACAGGAAACGTTTGGTTGAAGTTATTGCTGCCAAAGGAGGTTCCACCAGTTATTAAATCCAAGGGTTCACGTACTTTTTCCACCTGCACTGTGAATGTTTACATGGTGTGTTCAATAAAAACATGGCATCATCTCATTATTTGTGTAGTATTAGTTTAAGTAGACCGTGATTGTCTATTGTTGTGACTTAGATGATGATCAGATCACATTTTATGACCAATTTGTGCAGAAATCCATATCATTCCAAAGGGTTCACATACATTTTCTTGCAACTGTATTCAGTACATAGTGGCTGGGGACACACAGTTCTATTTATATAATATTGATATATATTCAGTATATAGTGGCTGGGGACACACAGTTCTATTTATAGAATATTGATATATATTCAGTATATAATGGCTGGGGACACACAGTTCTATTTATAGAATATTGATATATATTCAGTATATAGTGGCTGGGGACACACAGTTCTATTTATAGAATATTGATATATATTCAGTATATAGTGGCTGGGGACACACAGTTCTATTTATAGAATATTGATATATATTCAGTATATACTGGCTGGGGACACACAGTTCTATTTATAGAATATTGATATATATTCAGTATATACTGGCTGGGGACACACAGTTCTATTTATAGAATATTGATATATATTCAGTATATAGTGGCTGAGGACACACAGTTCTATTTATAGAATATTGATATATATTCAGTATATACTGGCTGGGGACACACAGTTCTATTTATAGAATATTGATATATATTCATTATATAGTGGCTGAGGACACACAGTTCTATTTATATAATATTGATATATATATTCAGTATATAGTGGCTGGGGACACACAGTTCTATTTATAGAATATTGATATATATATTCAGTATATAGTGGCCGAGGAGACACAGTTCTATTTATATAATATTGATATATATTCAGTATATAGTGGCCGAGGAGACACAGTTCTATTTATAGAATATTGATATATATTCAGTATATAGTGGCTGGGGACACACAGTTCTATTTATAGAATATTGATATATATTCAGTATATAGTGGCTGGGGACACACAGTTCTATTTATAGAATATTGATATATATTCAGTATATAGTGGCTGAGGACACACAGTTCTATTTATAGAATATTGATATATATTCAGTATATACTGGCTGGGGACACACAGTTCTATTTATAGAATATTGATATATATTCATTATATAGTGGCTGAGGACACACAGTTCTATTTATATAATATTGATATATATATTCAGTATATAGTGGCTGGGGACACACAGTTCTATTTATATAATATTGATATATATTCAGTATATAGTGGCCGAGGAGACACAGTTCTATTTATATAATATTGATATATATTCAGTATATAGTGGCTGGGGACACACAGTTCTATTTATAGAATATTGATATATATTCAGTATATACTGGCTGAGGACACAGTTCTGTTTATAGAATATTGATATATATTCAGTATATAGTGGCTGGGGACACACAGTTCTATTTATAGAATATTGATATATATATTCAGTATATAGTGGCTGGGGACACACAGTTCTATTTATATAATATTGATATATATATTCAGTATATAGTGGCTGGGGACACACAGTTCTATTTATAGAATATTGATATATATATTCAGTATATAGTGGCCGAGGAGACACATTTCTATTTATATAATATTGATATATATTCAGTATATAGTGGCCGAGGAGACACAGTTCTATTTATATAATATTGATATATATTCAGTATATAGTGGCTGGGGACACACAGTTCTATTTATAGAATATTGATATATATTCAGTATATACTGGCTGAGGACACAGTTCTGTTTATAGAATATTGATATATATTCAGTATATACTGGCTGGGGACACACAGTTCTATTTATATAATATTGATATATATTCAGTATATAGTGGCTGGGGACACACAGTTCTATTTATATAATATTGATATATATATTCAGTATATAGTGGCTGGGGACACACAGTTCTATTTATAGAATATTGATATATATTCAGTATATACTGGCTGGGGACACACGGTTCTATTTATAGCGTTTCAGAGTCACTCCCAATCAGTGTGGCCGGCATGGCTGAGACACTCATAGCTCTATATATCTGGCTGGCTGGGGGCTGTGTTTACACATTGCAGGCGGTATCAGTCACGGTACCGGGCGGGACAGGCGCCGTGTATACCGGTGGCAGTGAGTCCCAGTGAATGCTGAGGGGGCCGGATCCAGCTTGTGAGTCTCACACTTGGCGCTGCTGGGCGCAACGTTGCATTGTGACGTCACCGCGCTGCGAGCTCCGGAGTGATCCATCCAAACAGGAGCAGCGGCGGCGGCTGGGAGCGGACCGGGAGCTTCTCACTGTGTGTGTGTGTGTTTGGGGGGAGCTCGGCGCAGCTCGGGGACACATTGCCACTCACACACAGCACCCTGCACAGCCTGTCCGACAGCCCCGGAGCCCGGCACCCCCTCCGCATCGTGGGGATAACTCGGCCGCCGGGCGGGGAGGGGGGGACAGCCGACAGCATGAACCGAAGTTTCAGTAAGTCCCAGACCCTGCGCTGTGTGGACAGCAGCAACGTGGAGGTGAAGAGCAAGGTAAGGGCTCTGTCTGTGTGTGTTTCTGTCTGTCCTGTCTCTGTGTGTTGCTGTCTGCTTCTGTCTCTGTGTGTTGCTGTCTGTTTCTGTCTGCTGGCAGTGCATTGTCCTGCAATGAATGGAGAGCAGGCTCCCAGACAGCCCTGCTTGGGGGGGTTGAGATGTTTGGAAGCTTGCTGTTTGGGGGTCACTCTGCCACCCCTCTCTTTTGTTAGTTGTAAAGCTGAGTGGGGGAATGTGAAGAATTCATGGAGCTTCACTGACTATCCTATATCATGGAGGTAATGCCCAGCAATGCAAGGGTTAATTTAACAAGTAGCACTGACTATTGCTTTTAGTTTACTTTTATGTAATGCTAGCCCTTCCATACTCTCTGATGTCTAACTTCATCGTCGAATCCATCACTTATTCATGATCAAAGAATGCAGAATTATGTTAGGGCATTACTGTTTGTTTTTAGCAGATCGTGTTTGTGTGAGTGGTATTCATAAAGTTTGTGCTGGCTATATTTCTTTCATCGATAAGTATGTATGGCAGTGTGTAATGGTCACATTTCGTTATATACGGCTGGGACGCATTATAATATGTTTCATTCAAACAGTTTTGAGTGCTCTGCATGTGTAATGAAGAAACCTAGATCACTATCAGTCCTGCAGGCTGCTACTCTCACTTTATCAGTCCAATAAAGCATTTAGAATTCCTAGTGATGTCTTGTTTGCCACACACTATGGGAAATTTGAAAAATGATTTATGTTTGTGCGTGTGATGCATTTGTCTCTAAATACGTTGGGCCAAATCGTGACAGCTGCCCTTCAGACTATTTGTAAGGAAAGAACATGGCTTGCATGTTTGGAGAATGCCTGCTCTAAACAGCATGCACATGTTGTGATGTACATTCAAAGTCTGGCAGGTTTCTGAGAGGCACTGCTCTTTCCTTTGTGGTGCGTTTTAAAAAGTAATACTGTGGTGGACTGTGTGATTGCTAATGTGCCTAATGTTTAAACTGATACAAATTTAATCTACCTTGTTTAAACATTCCATTGCAGAGGGGGATTCTATTCTGTGCATAATTCCTCAGTAACTACCATAATTATTCCTAAATCATTGTTGCCTTTGTGATGCAGAATACAAGTTTTAGGGTCTATTGCTTCCAGATCATAGAGCATGATTTGTTAAATGTTAGCTGTTGCCTTCCACACCTCAGTGAGTCAGTGCAGAGCCCTGCATGTACTCATCTGCAAGGCTTTCATCTGCTATCCTGTTTCAACTTGCTCTAGAAGCTTGGAGCTGTTTTGTGGATCTTTCTAGCCTTCTTTATTGGTTAAGTGCAGAACAGCTTCCCATCATTAAATCAGTTTGTATAGCACGGCATATGTGACCTCATGAGCAGCAAGCCATGTCCTGAATGATAGAGCCTAAATGATGACATAACAATGATGGTCAAGATTGTTTACTATTTAATTCTTGATAAACTGTAGCAAAGAATTCCACAATGCTGGTGCTCCAAGAAAGAAGAGGCTACTGTATTAAGTCATATTTACAAACGTAGTTATCTGGTGTATGTATGCATATATCACTTATTACTCACAGCCACTAGAGGCACTTTCTCTAAATTCGCAGAGTAAAACTCTATTTAAATAAAACCATCTGATTGGTGCGGCAAATGCGCACTAGCCTCCCCATGTTCTAAAATGAGTTCTTGATGAGCTCAGCCAAGGAGGCGGAACGGGTGCTGCGAGGGAGAAAAGGTAAGGGGGAAAAAAAGTGTTTTAAATTCACTACAGGTGGGCCTAAATGGCCACCAGAGCACTGTCATGTTGGGAATACACATTTGTCCTTTAAACACACGCTTTACAGTTGGCTAAAGATGCTAGTTCTTCTCATAGGAAATACATATGATAAACAATGAGATTGTAATGTTTTGAAGGAAACCATATATTTGAAAGTATAAACTATTGCCTCTTAAAGAGTTAATCCAAGTATCATGAAAACTTCTGTGATTTGAAGTGGTCATGGTGCTATGAGTCTGTAAGTGCAGCAAAATGCTTGACGTACAGTGTTTAACTCTTTTGCTGCTAGAGATGCAACTCCACCTCCAGCATTTTAACTGGGTCATCATTAGCCAGTAACAAGTGTTCCGGGCTGGCTAATGTCAATAGTGTGCATTTTTCTGTGTCATTCATTGAGTGAGAGTGGATGCTGTCAGCCAATCAATGTTCACTGGATCGGCATTTGACTTATGCAGGTTTGTAGGAGCCACATGTCATTCACCCAGCACCAGAAGCAGCCAGGCACCTAGTGGGGACCCAGGTAAGAGGGCAAGCAATTGCAAAACGATTTGTCCCATCACCCGGGAACAGCGCCTGGGTACTCTTGATATTGCGACAACTACAGCAGGCTATTAGTATTCACTCTTTATCAATCTTAGAATTGCAAGATAGTGAGGAACTTATTCAGTGAACCACAAATTGCTGAGAACTGAAAAATTGGTTGTATATTTTAAGCTAAAATAGCAGAACTGAAAAACATGTCAAACTCCGCTATTGTGTAGCCTAACATTTTTATTCCTCTTGTCAGTTTTTGTTAGTTCACAGTTAAAAAAAATAAATAAAACACGTACACAAATCAAGACTATATGGTGTTTATTCGCCACAATGAAATGCTCCATTCAAGATAATGAAAAATAGTCTGTATCATCCAGATGCATTTGGACACCAATATCTAGAAAGGTGATGATTCCACTTACACTCTGTTGATCAGGGGTAGATGTAGATATGGTTATCTGAATCTATCACTTCTGGCTGTCTCTGACTTCTTTCCTCTTGAGCTCCTAGACGCTTCACCTGCTGTTGTACTCTTACACATACACGAGAATGTACAAAAGGGTGGAGATTATGCGGGATTGTGGGTTCTTCCATGAATAGTTTCACTCTTGTGCATTGATAAGCTATAGGCATCTGTTGAGATTATTCCTGTCCCTGTTAGCCACAGCAATCTGTAACTGATGCGAAATGAAAGGATATGGCAGCAGAAACTCTGCAGATTGCCACATTTTGCCAAAAAAACAATTTCTGAAAAAGTAAGCTCTGCCTTCTCTTATGTCAGTGAATTTCCAGTATTGTCATTAAGAATTTTTATTTTTTGTATAGAAAACATCTTTATGCAAATGTCACAATTGACAGTCTGTTAACTCAGGTCGCCATGGCGACTAGGAATTGTGTCCTGAGTGTTAGGCCTGGCCACCTTAGGGAATCCCTTTAGGTGGGCGCTGAGAGCAGTGGACAGGCGGCGAGGGAGCTGTCATCTTCCTGCTCTCCTCCCTTGCACACCCTGTGGAAATGCTGGGAGCTGGAATATGACTTAACTCTGGCCCTGGTATCCCTAAAGGCCGTGCCAGGGAGCAGAGCTAGAACAGCAGGAAGATGGCAGGAGCCACACTTGATCATATGGAAAGGATCCACTCCAACTCTCCCAAAGGTAGGGAGGCTGGGTGGGCGTAAATTAAAATAATATAGTTTGTGAATAGTCACTTGAACCACTACAGCTTGATGTAGTGGTTCTAGTATCTATAGCTTATCCCTGCAGGCTTTTCAGTGTTTAGAGAAAAGGCAGTGTTTACATTTTTGGCTAGTAACACCTCTAGAGGCAGTCACTCAGATGGCCACTAGAGGTGCTGCATGGTGTGCTCTGCGTGAAGGCGCTGAATGTTCCCCATAGAGGTTCATTGATTCCGTGCATCTCTGTGAGGAGATGCTGATTGGTGCAGCTCTGCGTTCTGCCGTTTCCTTGGGCAGGGGCGGACTGACCACTCGGGCACATCGGTCATGGACTGAGGGCCTGAGACAGTCAGGGGCCCGGCCGCACAGACATGCTCCAGCTGGAGAGATCAGAGATCTTTCAATAGGGCATTTTTCAATAGGGTGCATTGTCACCCCCCTCCCTCCTTCACTCTGTCACCGTGTCACCCCCTCCCTCCTTCACTCTGTCACCGTGTCACCCATTCCCTCCCTCCCTCCCTCTGTCACCGTGTCACCCATTCCCTCCCTCTCCTCTGTCACCGTGTCACCCATTCCCTCCCTCCCTCACTCTGTCGTGTCACCCACCGTGTCACCCATTCCCTCCCTCCCTCTGTCACCGTGTCACCCACTCTGTCATGTCACCCATTCCCTCCCTCCCTCTGTCACCGTGTCACCCATTCCCTCCCTCCCTCTGTCACCGTGTCACCCATTCCCTCCCTCCCTCTGTCACCGTGTCACCCATTCCCTCCCTCCCTCTGTCACAGTGTCACCCATTCCCTCCCTCCCTCTGTCACCGTGTCACCCATTCCCTCCCTCCCTCTGTCACCGTGTCACCGATTCCCTCCCTCCCTCTGTCACCGTGTCACCCATTCCCTCCCTCCCTCTGTCACCGTGTCACCCATTCCCTCCCTCCCTCTGTCACCGTGTCACCCATTCCCTCCCTCACTCTGTCACCGTGTCACCCATTCCCTCCCTCCCTCTGTCACCGTGTCACCCATTCCCTCCCTCACTCTGTCACCGTGTCACCCATTCCCTCCCTCACTCTGTCACCGTGTCACCCATTCCCTCCCTCACTCTGTCACCGTGTCACCCATTCCCTCTCTCACTCTGTCACCGTGTCACCCATTCCCTCCCTCACTCTGTCACCGTGTCACCCCCTCCCTCACTCTGTCACCGTGTCACCCCCTCCCTCCTTCACTCTGTCACTAGTAGCCACTGCTCTCCCTCACGATGAGGGAGATGAGGGGGTGACTAGTGGCTGAGTGAGGGAAGGAAGGGGATGACTGGTGACAGTGAGGGGATGACTGGTGACAGTGAGGGGATGACTGGTGACTGAGTGAGTTAGGGGGTGACTAGTGACAGAGTAAGGGACGGAGGGGGTGACTAGTGACAGTCAACACCTCCCTCACTGTCACTAGTCACCCCTTCCTTCCCTCACTCTGTCACTAGTCACCCCTTCCTTCCCTCACTCGGTCACTAGTCACCCCCTCACTCTAGTGACAGTGAGGGAGGGTGTGACTAGTGAAAGAGTGAGGCAGGGAAGGGGTGACTAGTGACAGTTAGGGAGGTGGTGACTAGTGACGGAGGGATGGGGTGACTAGTGACAGTCACTACCTCCCTCCCTCTGCCGCCAGCCATCCCCCTCCCTCTGCCGCCAGCCATCCCCCTCCCTCTGCCGCCAGCCATCCCCCTCCCTCTGCCGCCAGCCATCCCCCTCCCTCTGTCACCACTTAACCCATCCCTCTCCCACTCTGCCACCAGGTACGCCCTCACTCTTCCACCTGTCACCTTCTCCCTCTCACACACTGTCCCATATGCATTCACACTGACACTATATACAAAAAAGGCACATGTAGTCATCCAGACATGCACAAGTGCATTCACACAGACTCAAATACAAACATGCATTGATACACAGGTCTTCACAATATACACATCCAAAGGAATGCCGTATTATGAGTTATATTTAACATTTATTTAATGCACATATATTTGGCCTTCAAAGGGCCTGGAATCTAATTTTGCCCGGGGCCCCAAAGGCTCTCAGTCCGCCCCTGCCCTTGGGAATAGTTTAACACTAGAGTGTCAGGAAAGCATGCTTGTATCCCTGGCACTATTGTGTCCATTTAAGCACAGGTGAGTAAGTACAGCCTGAGAGAAATGTGTTAAGTTATGTATCATAAACGTGACCTTATAACTAGTCTTGTTACCTAGACACTTGTTTAAACATGTCTGAGTGGATTTTATAAATGTGAACAAAATTGTTTCATTTCAGATTGCAACTTTAGTACACCGTAAAAAGAAAACCATAAGTGGTGTAGAAACGAAGCAACCCTAAACATTTTATATTTTGTTTGTGACTTTTTTAATTCAGTGTTGTGCTCTGGTACAGACATCTTCTAGAGTATGTGTGTATGTATGTATATATATATATGTATGTGTGTGTGTATGTATATGTGTAATATATATATATATATATATATATATATATATAATTATTTTTTTATTTTTTTTCTTCACTTATGCACTGTGCTTTTTTTTTTCTACCTCAACTGTTAAGGATATTCAAACATTGTTTAGCTGTGCATTTTGAGACAATGTAGGCTCAGACTGGCAAAGCATCATGCCACATGCACTGAACAGCATCTTGAATGCAAGAGATTGTATGCCTCTGGGCTGTGCCCTCATCAAGAAACTATTTGAGTGCCACTTCCAGTTTCCTGGGAGTGGGGGCATAAATCAAATTTTGCGAAACAGTATGGATAGTAAGATGTTTATGGCTCTCAGGACAAACTTCTATTCGAGCTTAAAAAAAAAAAAAATATCAAAGCATTGTTAAAAAAAAAACAACAACTCAGCACTCCAAAGAGAAAAGCAGTAAGATGAGTTGCAATAAACACTTTTCTCCAAACATTAAAATTATGCACGGCAAGTCGGAGAGAGAGATCTGTATGTGTATATGTATATATGTGTGTGTGTGTATGTATATATATATATATATATATATATATATATATATATATATATATATATATATATATATATATATATATATATATATATATATATATTTTGTGTATATGTGTGTGAGAAAAAGTTACAACATGCCTGGCAAAGCTTGTTGACATCAGATATTGGGGAAGCTGATACTTTGTCAGCTTATGATTTATCAGTTATGAATAACATAGGGCAATGTCATATTATCTAATCACTGCAGCTATAGTCTCGATTTGGTTTTAATTAAATTTTTTGATACTCCTTACCCATATGCTATTTTGTACCACACTTTACATTTGATTGCAGTTAAAGGAACACTATAGTCACCTAAATAATTTTAGCTAAATAAAGCAGTTTTAGTGTATAGATCATTCCCCTGCAATTTCACTGCTCAATCCACTGTCATTTAGGAGTTAAATAACTTTGTTTCTGTTTATGCAGCCCTAGCCACACCTCCCCTGGCTATGATTGACAGAGCCTGCATGATAAAAAAAACTGGTTTCACTTTCAAACAGATGTAATTTACCTTAAAGGACCACTATAGTGCCAGGAAAACATACTCGTTTTCCTGGCACTGTAGTGCCCTGAGGGTGCCCCCACCCTCAGGGTCCCCCTCCCGCCGGGCTCTATGGTGAGGAAGGGGTTAACTTCTTTCTCCAGCGCCAGGCGGGGAGCTCTCCGCCTCCTCTCCTCCTCGGCGGCATGCGCGGCAATAGCTGTGCGCGCATTCAGCCAGTCCATAGGAAAGCATTCTAAATGCTTTCCTATGGACGCTGATGTCTTCTCACTGTGAAAATCACAGTGAGAAGCACGCAAGCGCATCTAGCGACTGTCAATGACACAGCCACTAGTGGTCTGGTTGCCTATAGTGGTCCTTTTAAATAATTGTTTCTCAATCTCTAAATTGAACTTTAGTCACATACAGGAGGCTCTTGCCGGGTCTAGCAAGCTATTAACATAGCAGGGGATAAGAAAATCTTAATTAAACAGAACTTGCGATAAAGAAAGCTTAAATAGGGCTCTCTTTACAGGAAGTGTTTATGGAAGGCTGTGCAAGTCAAATGCAGGGAGGTGTGACTAGGGTTCATAAACAAAGAGATTTTACTCCTAAATGGCAGAGGATTGAGCAGTGAGGCTGCAGGGGCATGTTCTATACACAAAAACTGCTTCATTAAGCTAAAGTTGTTCAGGTGACTATAGTGTCCCTTTAAGTAATGCTATAAATATATGATGATGGAGGCACAATCCTTTTGCATCCATAATTCTGTATTTTAAAAGAGGGCCTTTAATATCGGTTAAAATCTCCAGTGGCCCACAGCTCCACACAACAGGTTCAGATCACTCATAAAAGAGTAGAAGCCAGTAAATGAACTGTGAGTAGGAACGTTTTATTGTTGCTTCAACAAAACAAAAACAAGGTTTTTGTCTATACAAAGACCTTAATCATAGTGTGGAGGGTTTGACCCATATGACTTTAAGTAGCATCATACAGGAAATTGGTCATTAAAATACTCAGTGTTCTTCACCATGACTGGCTTTTAGTACAGTGTGTTATCTTTGAGATTTGTGGCATATTGCATTAGTCTCCAAAATTAATAAATGCATATATTACACCATTACTACATAATTGGTTATTTGAATTGTATTATGAACTCTGGTTTACAAATGACGCTTACAATGCCTTACTAAGTTATATAATATAATATATATTTTATAATTTTTTTTATTATTATTTGAGCTTGTTGAACAGCATTATTATAGCTACATTCTTTGATAATTTGCAGGCAGCAATTTGTGGTCACTGTTGGTGTAATTAACGAACATACTAATTTATCAGCTTCACGTTCATACTTTTGAGTCAAGTTCTCCTCTAAGTGGTTTGACCTCTTGTGATTATGACTAAACTGTTTACCATTATTTATTCTAGTGACAAATATGTGGCACAGTTTAGTATTCTTGTTTGCATGTCATATGTCATGTCAACAGAGGTGGAGTGCACATAAGGTACTTTCAATATTTAAAAGTAGTATAGAATGCAGAATTTTGTATGTTTCCAGGAAAAGAATAGCTCTCACTGATACCAGTCTCTGCAAAGTGCTTCAGCTGTAATAAGTAGGGTGGTAGGTGACAGGGGCATGGGAACTCATTGCACCGTATTCTTTGTAAGGGGTAGGAATGGTTATTGTGTTATAAATTTCTTAACTCTTCTCTCATTTCCGTTCTTAAAAGGCAGATTAACCATTGATGCTTAACATGCACTTGACCGCTCGCTACCTACTCACTGAAAGAACATAATAAATCCATATATACATTGTCCAAGCAAAGGAATAGATTTTATACACTGATCAGCCACAACATTAAAACCACTTGCCTAATGTCGTTCAGGTCCCCCTACATGCTGCCAAAATCCGAGGAATCGGCTACACAAAATATCTGAACGTGTCCTGTGGTATCTGATACCAAGACATTGGCAGCAGATCCTTTGAGTTCTGAAAGTTGGGGCCACAATGGATTGAATTTGTTTTGTTCAGCACATCTCACAGATGCTCAATCGGAGTAAGAACTGGGGAATTTGGAGGCCAAGGCAGGACCTTGAACTCTGTCATGTTCTTCAAACCATTTATGAACAATTTTTTCAGTGTGGCAGGGTGCATTATTCTGCTGAAAGATGCCACTGCCATCAGGGAACACCATTGCTATGAAGGGGTGTAAATGGTCTGCAGCAGTCTGTAGGTAGGTGGTGCGTGTCAAAGTAACATTCTCATGAATGCCAGGACACAAGGCTTACCAGCATAATATTGTCCAGAGCATAACACTACCGGCCTGCCTTCTTCAAAAAGTGCATCCTGCTGCCATCTCTTGCCCAGTATATGGCACACATGCAACCCGTCAGGCAACCTTTTTCCATTGCTCCGTGGTTTAGGTCTGATGCTTACACCTCATTCACCTGGACTTGTTTGCGAACACTTCTTACCACTACTGTAGTGAGAGGAGTGGACTTTATTTATTAAAATAGGATTTCTTTTATCAAAATGTTTTTGAGGGAAAATCTATTTACAGTTTTCTTTTTAAGATACACTATAGTCTAAAAGTTATTCAGCCTGAAATATGAATTGGTTATGTAGAATAAGGCTGTATATTCATGCAATATTTCCACTTTTTTGTGTGTAAATAAATTCCTTTAATCCAAATTAAATACCAACCTTCATAACCACTGCATCCCTTGTAGTGGCTATGATAGTAGGAGCAGCCTGGTCTCGTAAAACCTTTTTCCTCATTAGCAGAGAACAGCTTGCCCTCTTACCTTGGTCCCTGTCTTTGATCAGGTCTCCTCTTCAGAAGGCTTACAACATCTGGCTTCTGCAGAGCTGCAAAAACAGGACGCCTATCCTGCCATTCATTCATTACCTGAATGCCCCACAGCTATATGCACAGAATTGACATTACCCAGCCAAGAATGTGTTTTGG